CGTCTGCAGGCGCTAGGAGCCTTCCAGCGCCCTGTGCAGCCCACTGCTTGCATGGTACTTGCATGGCAGCTCAGCATGCGGGGGTGGATTTGCTGCTTCAGGGCAAAGCGTCTTTGGTGCCAATGGCGATGGGTAAAGAGGGTGGAAAAGTTAGGGGTGTATCTTTCTTGGTAAAAATCAAAACTCAAATGAGCCCTGGCCGGTGTGGCTCAGTAGTCAGAGCATTGGCCTGCACACCGAAGGTTCACAGGTTCAAATCCTGGTCAAGGGAATATACCTGGGTTGTAGGTTCAATCCCTGGCCCCTGGCAGGGTCTTGCAGGAGGCGGCCCATCGATGTGTCTCTCTCACGTTGATGTTTGTCTCTCTCTCTTCCTCCTATCCACTCTCTCTAAAAATCAGGGGAGTCCGGCTGGTGTGGCTTAGCAGTTGAGCATCGACCCATGCACCAAGAGGTCGCCTGTTCGATTCCTGGTCAGGGCACATGCCTGGGTTGTGGGCCAGATTGCCCATGGGGGACATGCAGGAGGTGGCCAATCCATGTTCTGTCTCATCGATATTTTTCTCTCTCTCCCTTCCTCTCTCTCCAAAAATCAATGAAAATATATTTTTTAAAAATCAGTGGAAAAAATGTCCTCAAGTGAGGATTAATGGGAAAAAAATTAAAGCAACGAGGCCTATTAATATAGAATGAATGCTGTCGCACAGCTGTTTTGCGCAATAGCAATATTTTTGGGGTGTGTTGTCCCTGTGTGTAAGTATAGCCTTTGTTCGGATGTGTGCGTCCTGGTGTGTTATGTAAGAAACAAGCGTCACTTCTCCGTGGCTGCATCTAGGAAAACAGGGACACGCCAGCATGCGCAGCGCTCATCCGTTTTACTGAGTGTCAGTGCGGATGGTGTGAAGCTTTTGTTAAAATGGTAGTGCTGGGATGCGGCAGAGCAGCTTTGTATCTGAACCCGCCTCTGCTAGCAGGTGGGGCCGTAGCAGGCAAATGCCTAGGCTCCGGAGACAGTCCCGAGATGGACTATCGGTACCATGATGTGTCCCCGGGGCCAGCGCATTCTATTCGATTAGTGGGATTCTGAGTTTTCAATTCAGTTATGTGATCCGGGCCAAGTACCAACCTTTCTGAAGCTCATTTCCTCCTTTTTAAATGTGGAAGGGGCAGCCCTGGCCTGGTAGCTCATAAACAAGTGGAACAACAAATCAGTGTCTTTCTCGCTCTCAAATCAATAAATGAATAAATAAATGCATTGAGTGAATGTGGGAGGGAATAATGCTTACCTTAGAAGGTCTTTTTTTTTTCTTTCAATTTTTATTAACTTCTTTTTGTTACAGATGTTTCTTCTTTTTTCCTCCCTAGATACCCTCCTCCCCATTCCTGCCCCCAGCATTGTTGTCTGTGACCATTGGTTATGTATACGTGCATATAAGTTCTTTGGTTCATCTCATCCATCCCCCAAGAAGGTCTTTTTAAAAAAATATATGTTTTTTGTTTTGTTTTTTTTTTTCAGAAAGAGGAAGGGAGAGAGAGAAACATTGATCAGCTGCCTCCTGCACGCCCCCTACCGGGATCGAACCTGAAACCTGGGAATCGAACCGGTACCTCTCAGTCCATGGGATGATGCTCAATCTACTGAGCCACACTGACTGGGTAGAAGGTCTTTTTGTTTTATTAAATTTTTTTTGTGTTAAAATACACATAAAATCTGCCATCTTAACCTTTTTTAAGTGGTTCAATCTCCAAAACTTGTTCATCTTGCAAAACTGAAACTCTACTTTTTTAACAACTCCCCAGTCCATGGCATCTACCCTTCTGCTTTCTGTCTCATGAATTCGATTATTCTAGGGACTTCATTGTAAGCAGAATCATACAGTATTTGTGCCTTTCTGTTTGGTTAATTTCACTTAGCATTATGTCCTTAGCAAGTATCAGAATTTCCTGCCATTGTATGGATGGATCACATTTTTAAAAAATTGGTTGTTTACAGAGAGAGGAAGGGAGAGAAAGATAGAAACATCGATGTGAAAGAGAAACATCGATCATCTGCCTCCTGCATGCCCCCCACTGGGGATCGAGCCTGAAACCTGGGCATGTGCCCTGACTGGGAATTGAACCAGGACCTCTCAGTCCATGGGACGATGCTCCATCCACTGAGCCATACCAGCTGGGCATGGACCACATTTTCTTTATCGCTTTGTTTATTGATGGACATTTGGATTACTTCCACCTTTTGGCTGTTGTGAGTGATGCTGCTCTGAATCTGGTATACAAATATCTCTGAGCCCCTGCCTGCAGTTTTTCTGGGTATATACCCAGAAGTGGAATTGCTGGATCATATGGTAATTCTTTTTAAGTTATTTAAGGAACTGCAATATTACTTTCCATATGAGCGACTGCATTTCATTTTCCCACCAACAGTGCGTAAAGGTTCTGGTTTCTCCACATCCTCGCCTGTGCTTGTGACATTCTGTCTTTTTTTTCTCTATAGCAGCCATCCGAATGGGTGTGAAGTGGTAGTTCATTGTGGTTTTGATTTGCATGTCCCTGATGATATTGAGCTTTTTTTTTTTTTTCATGTGCTTGTTGGCCATTGAACTATCTTCTTTGGAGAAATGCCTGTTCTGGTTCTTTACCCATTTTTCAACTTTTTTTTTTTTTTTTAATTGTTGAATTATAAGAGTTCTTTAAATATTCTGGTTATTAACTATCAGATATTTGATTAACAAATATTTTCTCACATCTGCAGGTTACCTTTTTACTCTGTTGAGTGTATACTTTGATGCAAAGTTTTTTATTTTTATGTAGTCCAGTTTATCTATTTTTTCTTTTGTTGACGGTATTTTTGGTATCATATTCATGAAATCATTGTTAAATCCCATGTTACAAAGCTTTCTTGTATGTTTTCTTCTAAGAGTTTTAGCTTGTAGGTTTACATTTTTATCCATTTTGAGTTCAGTTTTGTCTATGGTATAAGATAAGGGTCTAATTTCATTCCCTCGTATGTGTGTATCCCGTTGTCCAGGCACCATCTGTTGGAAAGACTATCCCTTCCCACTAAATGTCAGGAAGTCATTTTGTGAATGAAGTAAAATGCTGTACAGGAAGCTCCTAACAACATCCTAGCTGTGTCCTAAAGAAATGTTGGTCCCTCTATCTCCCTCTTATTTGAGATGCAGTTTTTTACTAAAGTTGATTTTTAATAATTATAATAGCAACTACTTAATAGTACTGTTTCTGTGTTAGGCTCTATTCCAAGGACTTTACGTACATTAGCCCACTGAGCGTCCTAACAACTCTGTGGGGTAGGCATTGTCGTTTCCACTAGTGTATAAATGAGGAAAGTGGGCACAGGGAAATCAAGTCATTTGCCCAAGTCACATAGCTAGTAAGTGGTGGAGCCTGTATCCAAACCCAGGTAGCTTGGCTCCAGAATCTGTGGGGTAGTAAACTTAACACCTCTCTGTTGGAGATTTTTCCTTTTGGCTGGGCGCAGTGAACTTTATTGATGGTGTATGACAAGTTACGGCTCCCTAAGCCCCTCCCCTTCTTCAGGGGGCCTGGGATGGAAACTGTGGAGGTCAGGAGATTCTCAGTGTGTTGGAGGATTGATTTGGAGTTAAGGAATCTCGGTAGCTGAGGGCCTCTCTTCCTGTCGCTGGGGCTGGTGGTTCAGGGGCCTTAGAGGCCACATAGACCAGAAGGTCCACCGCCCTTTGTGTAGTCGGATTCATTACCGTACCAGGAAATGAGCTTGACAGTGTGGTCACTGAGCAGCCCCAGCCCCAGCATTGTAGCTGGAAAAGTGGGTGTTACTGTTCAAGTTGAAGGAGACAGACTGGTCCTCAGCACAGCCCAGGACGCCCTTGAAGGGGCCTCTGACACCTGTGGCACCGCCTTCTCGATGTCAGCATATTTGACAGCTTTCTCAGGCAGCAGGTCAGATCCCCAACCAACACACGGGGGTGGGGACATGGAAGGCCATGCCAGTGAGCTTCCCTTCCGCTCAGGGATGACCTTGCCCACAGCCTTGGCAGCGCCAGGAGAAGCAGGGATGATGTTCTGGGCAGCCCCTCAGCCATCACGCCACAGCTTCCCAGAGGGGCCATCCATGGTCTGGGTGGCAGTGATGGCGTGGACTGTGGTCATGAGTCCCTCCACGATGCCAGAGTTGTTATGGATGACCTTGGCCAGGGGGGCCGAGCTGTTGGTGGCGCAGGAGGCATTGCTGACAGTCTTGAGGGAGTTGTCATGGTTCACGCCCATCACAAACATGGGGACATCCATAGGGCAGAGAGGATGACCCTCTCGGCTCCACCCTTCAAGTGAGCCCTAGTCTTCTCCATGTAGTGAAGACACCAGTAGACTCCCCAACATACTCAGCACCAGCATCACCGCCTTTGATGTTGGTGAGATACTGCTCCTGGAAGATGGAGACAGGCTTTCTGTTGATGCCAGGCTCCCTGCTGTCAGCCTTGACTGCGCCTTTGAACTTGCCATGAGTAGAAGAATCACACTGGAACATGTAGATCACGTAGTTGAGGTCAATGAAGGGGTCATTAATGGTGACAATATCTGCTTTGCCGGAGATAAAAGCAGCATTGGTGACCAGGCGCAGCCAATATGGCCAAATCTGTCCACTCCGACCTCCGCCACTGTGTCTCGGGGCTGTGGCTGCTTTTACCTGGCACTGTGCAGGAAGACACGGCTGTCTATTGAACGGGAGGAGCAGAGAGTGTTGGGTGACTTTTAATAGCTTAGGCCTATCATGAGCTTTTCATTCTGGAGTTTGGTGAATGAAGGACAGTGTTATGACATTGGTCTCCCCGCCCAGATCTCTCTCTCTCTCATGCGGAGTGTTCTCTTGTGAACGCAGAACCCCAGAACTTTTGGCTCAGGCGATTGGTTTGGGGGATGTGGTTCTGGGCCCTTCTTGCTTCCTGCCAGGGCCTCCTTGTTCAGGAGAAATGTAACCAGTTTTCTCTCTGACTTCACAGAAAAGGCAACGGATGGCTCCCTGCAAAGCGAGGACTGGACGTTAAACATGGAGATCTGTGACATCATCAATGAGACAGAAGAAGGGTACGTGCGCCCTCCGCCCCTCCTTGGAAGCTTGTCGGCCCCTGGGTGTCACTCAAAGGCTGTCAGGGCTTGAAGGTGTCGGGTGTTTTACTTTTTGTTTTGTTTTTAGTCTGTTTGCCTTGGCATTTAATATGCTAACACTGTTTTGTTTTTTTTTAATTGATTTTAGAGAGAGAGGAGTGTGGGGGGAGAGAGGTGAGAAACATCGATGTGAGAGAGCTACATCCATCTGTTGCCTCCTGTGCACTCCCCAACCGCAGATCAAATGCACAGCGTAGGTATGTGCCCTGACTGGGAATCAAACCCTCGACCTGCCGGTGCATGGGACAATGCTCCAACCAGCTGAGCCACACTGGCCAGAGCAATAGGCTGACGCTCTTCATTATCTCTCCTGTTCCTGATGGCAGTGCTGAGTCAGAGCCCTGGCAACCTCTTTTAATAGCCTGCTTTTCATTGCAAGTGAAAATGCAGTTGCTTGGTCACTTGGTCCCCGGTGGTCGTTGATCTGTACAGCCAGACCATCGCCTCTGCCCACCTCTCCTCCTGTCCACTGGCTTCCCCCGCAGATGTGCTGGGTGGGGCCCAGGAGCCAGAGAGAGCGCCTCCCTGCGGTCTGGGGTCTCTGCCGTGGGCGGGCTGCGCCTAGGCCGCCCCTCTGGCGTCCCAGTGCTACTGAGTCTTCTGTTGTTACATCTTGCACGACATGTCTACCTCCTCTATATCACAGCCACATTCTAGTCACACTTCTTCCGAAGTGCTCTGTGTCTGGCCCTCTGTCCACACCCTGACGACGGAACACATCATCGCATGTCATCATGAGCCGTCTCCGTACTGGCGGGAGACAGCCTGGACCAGGCAGCCCTGCAGCGCGGCCCTGCCGCACGCAGCCCTGGGGGCCAGCCTCTTCCGTGGGCCCTGCTTTCACCCACCAGGTTGTGCGGGATGATGCCCTTGGGTTAGGCCCTGCGTAAGTCCTGAGGACACAGTAGTGACCAGGGCAGACTCCTGCCCCTCGGGGTCAGGCAGGCCCGGTGGGAGGTCCCAACAAGATAACTAGAACACACACCGTGGTCAGCTGGTGAGAAGACTATGGAGAGAAATGAAGCTAAGGAAGGAGAAGGCCAGGAATTAGCAATTTAAAAGGGAATATCAAGGGAAGCCTCACAGAAGTTGCACTGACCAGCCCTGGCCGCTATGGCTCAGCAGTTAGGTTAGAATGTCAGCCCGAGGACCTAAGGGTCGAGGGTTCAATTCCAGTCAAGGGCATGTACTTGAGTTGCAAGTTTGATCCCTGGCCCTAGGTGGGGTCGTGCGGGAGGCAACCAATGGAAGTGTCTCTCTCACGTCAATGTTTCTCTCTCTCAGATGAGGATTAACCAAAAAAAAAAAAAGTAGTTGCATTGACCAGAGACTTGAAAGAAATAAAGGGTAAGGTGTAAGGATTATACCAGGGAAGAACTTTCTAACAGAGGAAACAGCAAGCACAGGAGTCCTGGGACAGAGGGTGACTGGTGTGTTTTAAGAATAGCAAGGAGGCTAGTGAGGCTGGAACAGAGTGAGCGAAGAAGAGGGTGTTGGGAGGTGAGGTCAGAGATGTCCGGTCCAGGTAACACAGCACCACAGGGCCTCGGGCTGACTTCAGGTGGCAGGGGAATCCCTTGGAGGGTATGAGCAGAGAAAGGGTGTGGCCTGACTCTAGTTTTAAAGAGATCACTCTGGTTACCATGTTCAGAGAGGCCTGGCTGGGAAGAGACCAAGGGCAGAAAGGGAAAGACCAGTTAGGGGACTCAGATGATGGCAGATTTGACTAGGACCTGGAGGAGGGAATGAGAAACGATCTGATTCTGAATATACTTACAAGGGGGAACCGATAAAATGTGCCGATGGGAGTGAGAGGAGTTGAGGATAACAGGGGTGGAGAAGACTGGGGTGCAGTGATCAGCAGCTCAGATAAAACCCTCTCGACTGAGTTGCTGGCGCAGCCCCCTGTGGGCAATGCTGGGGTGCTGGCACGGAGGGGTCTGAGTGGGGGCAGTGGCCCGTTTTGGAGATGTGCGCTTGGGAGTCTTAAGTGAGAGGTGACCTGTTTCTGCAGCCTGATGTAGGTGATCATGCCTGGTGGTGTGGCTCTTCGGATGGAGTGTCGTTCCAGGGGCTGAGAAGTCCCAGTTCGATTCCGGGTCAGGCCACATGCCCGGGTTGTGGGCTCGATCCCCAGGGTGGGGTGTGCTGGAGGCAGTCGATGGATGTTTCTCTTTCATATCTATGTTTCCATCTCTCTCTCTCTCTCTCTGAAAAACAAAATCAATAAAAACATATTAAAAACATTGAAATATGGATGATCAGCTCGGTGTCTGGTACACAGACGGGAATCACAAAATTGTTGGGGACCACACTGCTAGTGCCGGAGTCACTGGGCTCACACTGCTGTCTTCCTGCAGAGCCGCTTGGGCTCCTCTCTCCCTTACACCCACTGCAGATTTCTTTCCTTGTCTGTCTAGCTGCCCCACAGCTGGAGGCACTCACTGAGCAGGACCGGGGGCTATGGCAGGGAGGTGTGCCCATTGCTGCAGACTCGAGAGCTGGTAGGGTGCCTCCCGGAGGGGCGGGCTCTGGGCTGAGCCGCAGGAACAGCAGGCGGAGAAGCTGAGGGTGCCTGGAAGGGCCGCGTGGTTGGGTGTAGGTGGCCTGGGTGTGCAGGGAAGAAGCAGGAGGGGTGTCTGCAACAGAGGCTGGAAAGGTGAGTTAGGCCAGGTTGTGGAGCCTCTTCCTGTGTCATCCTAGAGCTGGGCTGTACCTGCCCTGGGTGCATCTGCCTTTGCCTCGCTCTGTTGCCTGTCCCCCCTGCTGTGGCAGAGGGGCTCTCAGACACAGAACTCGTGAAGTCACTCCCTTGCTAATGAGCCTTCCCCTGCTCAGACCCTGGGGGCAACCTGGCCCCTCTGCCACTCCACTGGGGTCCCCACCAGTCTCTCAGGCCCTTGAATCGTCCACAGCCCTGGACCCTGTTGCAGGCTCCCCAGCTGTGAGGGCGGTGCACACAGCTGGGTCCGAAGGGGGACTGCTCATTCCTCGGGGACCGAGCCTCCTGCCAAGGCCTGGCAGCCAGGTCAGCTGCTGTCACAACCCTCAGTGCGCTTTCCTCCTGCAGTGACCCGCACTCCTGGTGCTGCATGTCTCAGAGAGAACCCAGTGCCTCCCGGGACTCCCTGTGCTCCCTCTGCCGGCAGGGGACTGCCAAAATCCCTCCCCACACCTCTGCTTCGTCTGCTTCGGTGGGGACCCTGCCCACTTCTCCCGGCTTCAGGGCTCCAGGCCTGTGTGCCTTCTGTTCCCTCCCCACGCCTCTCCCTTCCCTAGTCCTTTCCTACACTGCCTCTCATTTCCCTGCCCCTTGGACAAGTCCCGTTACAGGATTTCATAATATCCTCTATTGAATCAGTCGTCACATTTAAACTTCATGTGAGCAGAACCATCACACAGTGTGACAAGTGCTCCGAGTCCAAGCTTCCAGGGCGAGCGAGGCTGCTGCAGTGGCGCTGGCCAGCTGGGGCCACAGCAGGAAGGCTTCTGGGAGGAGGGGACTCCAGGTGGAGGCAGGTACCAAGTGAGGGTGGGTGGACCCCAGGCTGGGGGGCGGTGCATGCACGTAGGGAGGAGAGCGTTGTAGGATCGGGGGCCTGGAGCCTGGAGCCACCAGCCTGGGCAGGAGCCCTCTGTCCTCCGCTCACCTGTCATGTGACCCTGGTGAATTACTCAGTCTCTCCGGGTCTCCGTTTGCTCAGTAACAGGTGGGATACTAGTAGTGCCTATGTCATGGGTTTATGGCCCTCTCCTCTGCTGTTCCCTGAGCACCTACCGTGAGCTGGGCCCGTGCTGAGCCCTGGGTTGCGCCAGTGTATGCAGCGCCCACCCAGCGGCCCTGGGCAGCAGGGACAGTCCAATTAATGTTGGGGAAACTGAGTCCCACAGTGGTTTGGTCACTGGGCAAAGGGCAGGTACAAGTCCAGGAAGACCTGGCTCCAGCCTCCAACACTGCGTGCACTCCTCTTGTTTGTTCAGAGTTCTCCGTCTGGGAGGCTGGGGTCCTGGTGGGTAACCCCCCCCCCTCGGGCTTCTGCCTAATGTCCAGGGTCAAGGTCAACTCCAACCTGAGTCCTGTGTGGCAGCCCCTTGTGTCCTGGGTGCTTGGTCATTAACTGGGAGTGCCTGGCTGAGCAGCCTGACTGGGAATATTTTAGACCCCGTTTACCAGGCCTCACCCAGTCCTACCTACCCAGGGCACAGGCACCTGGTTGGTACGTGCTCTCTGGTTCTGATGGGCAGCTCTGATGAGGACGTGCTGACCTGGTCGTGCTCATGCCCATCTCTGGACTTTCCAGCTCTCTGAAGCTCTGTTCCAGCCTCCAAGCAGGAGGGGCCGGAGGAGCAGCTCTGGGTACATGCCGGAGAGCGAGATAATAGCTGAGTGGGGCTCGGGTGAGGGGGATGGGGTGTTCAGGGTGGGGGGGCAGGCATGTCCTCCATCCAGGAATAAGGAGGAAGCCTTTCAGAAGTGGCAGTTCTAGAGCCCAAGGACTCGGCGAGTTCTGTATGACTGGAAAGAAGGTCTCTTACGAGCCTGGGTCTGAGATGACGTTGGGAAGGCTGCAGATGGCCGGAGGCCTGATCTGAGGCCCTAGGGGCGGCCCCGAGGGGCCTGACCTTCCCTTCCAAAGCTGCCAGGGTACTGGGGGTCTTACACCTGTCATTACGTCCTGATTCTTCCTACTCCATCTGGGCTCTTGATTCTCCCTCTCTCTCCCTGTTCCCAACTCCTCACTGTCTGATCTGCAGCTGCTGCTGGAAACTTTGCAGTTCTTCTGACAGGCCTTTGATCCTCTCTCTGAAGCTCTTCCCCAGGGAGAGAGATAAATACTGGCTTTTGTGCTCACCCAGTCACTCTCAGGCAGTACTTCCTGAGGAGGAATTTTCATTTTAACTGCAACCCAGGAGCCTGCCGACTGGTTTCCCGCGCTGCCTCACTCCCGCCCTCGGAGCGCTCTGCGCTGTGCCCGTGAGCTGCGCGTGCTCGCAGTCCCGCAGGCTGCTCCCGTTTCTTTGCTGCATGGACGTTCACAGGAGGGGAAGGACACTCGGCTGAGAGGGATGGCAGCCGTGGCTCAGGCTAACCGTGGCTCGGCGGAGCCCTTGGGAGGAAACCAGGCTGTGCGCCTGGCCATAGCTGCCGGCCTTCACCAGCTCCAGTCCGCGGACAGTCCTCAAAGCCGAGAGCTTGTCAAGTCCCACATTTGTAGAATCAGCGCTCCTGTGTGGAGACTCACCACACTGCAGACATGCTTGGCCAGGGCCCTGTGCCCCTGAGAGCCTTGTCCCTGCAGACCTGGGATTTTGAGCCCAGAATCCCTGCGGGCAGCCGTTCCTCCAGCTGGGACTGGGATAGGGCTCCGGTGTCCAGGTGTCCTCTCGAAGCCTCGCCTCGTTGTGTGTTGTGTCTACAGTGGGCTGACGAGCAGGCCTTCACCTCCCTCCCAACTTCGTCATGCACGTTTGAAAGGACTTTTTCGTGGGTTAAGCGGATCGTAAATATATCGGAGCTGTAGGAATAGGAGGTTCCTGCTTACCAACCTTCAACTTTGCAAAGACCAGACATATCGAGATGTCAGCCTGCAAAAGGCTGCAGCCCACTTGTGAGAGTGAAAGACAGGCCACTGCTGGACTAGGGCTCCCCAGAGGGGGCATCAGCGAGCAGGGTTTCATGCTGGTGGTGGCACGTAGGTCCTCACCTTTGTTCAATCTGATTTAGGATAAATTAAATAATGTAAAACACAACCACTGTACCTGTGGTGCTGTTAGGGGCTGGCTGGGGACTCTAACTCCCAGCCGTAACAGTGACTTAAGAGAGAATGTTTTACAGTCCAAATAGCTTCCAAGTCAGCTTTTGAACATGGCCCATTTGTAACCTGGGGACTACCTATAATTCTGAGGTTCTCTTTGGGAATCCACGGCAGATCCATCACCTACCAGCACACAATTCCTTAGGTTTTGAGGAGATTAAGACTTTCTTGGGGGAAGTAGTCCCGTGGAACTGGGGAGGAGCTGAACATCCAGGCCTAAGCAAGGGCCTGGCCACTCTCCCTCTCTCTGGTTTCTTCAGTGCACCTGTGTAACAGTGGGTGCGGTTTGTTTCGGACAGATACTTGCATGTGATACAAAATTCAAAAGAGCTGCAAATAGACAATCCAGTGAAAAACCTCCCTGTCCCTCTGTCACTCATGTCCCTTCCTAAGGGGCAGCCCAAGTCACCAGCTTCCTGGGGCTCTTTCCAAGGGTCCTGTCCTCTATGCTGGCGTGTGCTGTGGATGTGTCTGTTGTCCTGGGATAGCTCAAGCAGTAGCATACCTCACGTACTGCTCTGCAGATGGTCGTGCAATCGTTTGCTCCGTATTGGTGTGTGAACACTGTCCGTTCTTCTTGCGGATAAACATGATTTAATTTAACCTGTTTCATATCGATAGACGTTTAGTTTTTTCCAAATCTTACACATTTGCAAGCATGTTACAGCCAATAACTTGGTATATATGCTAATTCACAAAAATGGCAGTGAATCTGTAGGATAGCATCTTGAAGTATGATGTTTAAGGATCTTGATATGTGCTTTCCTCCAGGCCAAAGGATGCCATCCGAGCCCTGAAGAAGCGGCTGAACGGGAACCGGAACTACCGAGAGGTGATGCTGGCATTAACAGTGAGTGCCGCCCTCCATGGTGGAAAGCACCTGGGAGAACCTGGGCCCTGACACTGCCACACTCACGGGCCTTCCCCGGCCCGCTCAGCACAGCCTCCGGGGTGTGCCGTGGGGCCTGGTGTGTGCCATCGGAGTGCAGTGGAGCCTTCCCGTGGCACCTGTGGGTTTCCCTACCTTCTTTGAAACGGGGCATGAACTTCACTGTGGAGTGTACCAGCAGGAGACGAGGCATGGGCAGCACTGACTGGGTCAAAGCCCACAGCAGAGCAGCCAGAGGCCTGGGTGTGGGTCTCCTGCCACAGTCTGCGTGAGACCTGGGCTAGCTGCTTCTCGGGTCCAAGTCCTCTGCAAGATGCCAACTTCCACCCCAGTGCCTGCCCACTGCTGAGCTTTTCAGAGGTTACTGCAGATGTTCACAACAACCTTCCCAACAGGTTTCATCATCCCCCTCACGGGGATGAAACATGGGCTCAGAGAGGTCTAGGGGTTTGCCCAGGCGGCACAGCTAGTGAGACCCCCGGCCGTGGGTTCTGGAAAACACTGATCATCACTGGGAGGTCCTTGAAAGGTCAGCCAGGTGACTCCTGTCATGAAGGAACACCCTGGTTTGTGCCCTTCCTTACAGTGTGAGAAAATTAAAAGGGACAATTTCAGGTGCTACTCTGTCTTAAAAGCTAACAGTTTTCAGATGTGACAAAGTCTGGGCCACAGTGAATAGATTCCTTTTTGTTGTTAATCCTCACCCAAGGATATTTTTTCATTGATTTTTATTTATTTATCATTATTTTTTAATGTTTATTTGTTTTTTAGAGAGAGAGGAAGGGAGAGATAGATAGAAACATCAATGAGAGCAAAATACTGATCGGCTGCTTCCTGCATACCTCCTACTGGGGATCAGGCCCACAACCTGGGCATGTGTCCTGACTGGGAATTGAACCAGCAACCTCTTGGTGCATGGGTCGACGCTCAAATACTGAGCCACACCAGCCAGTCTTTTTTCATTGATTTTTAGAGAGAGTGGAAGGAAGGGAGGGAGAGAGAGAAACATTGACACAAGAGAGACACATCAATCAGTTGCCTCCAGCACAGCCCTGGTCCGGCCAGGGACTGAACCTGCAACTCAGTTATGTGTCCTTGACTGGGAAGCTAACCCAAGACCCTTTGGTCCACAGGCTTACTTTCTAACCAGTAAGCCAAGTCGACCAGGGCATAAATTATTTTATTTTTATTTTTAAATTAAAGTTGACATACAATATTATTTTAGTTTCAGGTGTACAACCCCGTGATTAAACACTTATATAACTTAAAAAGTTATCACACTGATAAATCTAGTATCCATTTGACACCATACATATACCCATCTGACACACTACAGTATTATTGCCTACATTCCTAGTGCTGTACTTTATATCCCTGTGACTATTTTGTAATTAACACTCTGGACGCCTCAATTCCTTCATCTTTTTCACCCATCCCCCAACCCTCCCTCCAATCTGGCGACTATCAAAATGTTCTCTGTATCTATGAGTCTGTTTCTGTTCTGCTTGTTCATTTATTTTGTTTTTTAGATTCCACACAGAAGTGAAATCATCTGGCATTTGTCTTTCTCTGTCTGACTCATTTCACTCAGCACAGTACCCTCTAGGTCCATTCATGTTGTTGAAAGCTTTCATTCTCCTTTATGGCTGAGTCACATTCCATCGTACATATAAACCACTTCTTTATTCATTTATCTGTTGACAGACTCTTAGCTTGCCTCCATATCTTGGCTTTTACAAATAATGCTGCAAGTAACATATGGATGTATAAGTCTTTTTCGATTTTGTGTTTTGAGTTTCTTCTTGTAAATACCCAGAAGTGAAATTTCTGGGTCCTTCTTTGTCTCTTGGTATAGCTTTTGTTTTAAAGTCTATGTTGTCTGTTGTGTTGCTACCTCAGTTTTTTATTGTTTGTTTGTTTCTATTTTCATGAAATATCCCTTTCCATCCCATTTCTTTCAGTCTGTGTGTATCTTTTAATCTGAAGTTAGTCTCTTGTCAACAGCTTATGTAAGGGTCTTGTTATCTGTTCAGCCACTGTATGTCTTTTGATTGGGGCATATAAAGTAATTGTTGCTAGATATGTATTGATTCATTTAGGATTCATATTTTTTATCTTTTTTCCCCTTCTTCTTCTTTTTTTCAATCTCACCCAAGGACATTTTTGCATTTATCTGTAGACAGAGCAGGAGGGAGAAAGAGAGGAAGAGAGAGAGAGAAACATCGATGTGAGAGAGACACATCGACTGGTCGCCACCCACACGACCCCAACTGGGGCCGGGGACAAACTGCAACTGAGGCATGTGCCCTTAGCAGGAACCGAACCCGGGATTCTCTGGTCTGTGGGCCAACACTCTAACCACTGCGCCAAACCAGCCAGGGTATTTCTCCTTCCTCTTAAAGAAGACCTTTTAACATTTCCTATAATACTGGTTTGGTGGTGATGAAATTTAGCTTTTTCTTCTCTGGGAAGCCCTTTATGATGTTCTTTGATTCTAAATGATAGTTTTGCTAGGTATAGAAATCTTAGTTGTAGGTCCTTGCTTTTTATCCCTTTAAATATTTTGTGCCAATCTCTTCTGGCCTGCACAGTTTCTGTTTAGAAGTAAGTTGACAGCCCTGTCTGGTTTGGCTCCATGGTTAGAGCATTGGCCCATGATTGCGGGTTCAATACTCAGCCCCGGTTGGGGCCATGCGGGAGGCAACCAATCGATGTGTCTCTCTCATTGATGTGTGTCTCTCTCTCTTTCTCTCTCTCTCTCTCTCCCCCCCTCTCCCTCTCACATTATCTAAAAATCAATGGAAAAATATCCTCTAATGAAGATTAAAAATGAAAAAAGAAATAAACTGACAGTCTTGTGGGAGCTCCCTTGTAGGTTACTAACTGCTTTTCTCTTGCTGCTTTTATTTGTTCTTTTTTTGTTTTTAAATCCTCACCTGAGGATATTTTCCCATTTATTTTCAGACAGAGTGGGAGGGAGGGAGAGAGAGAGAAAAAAACATTGATGTGAGAGAGACACATCGACTGCCTCCTGCACAACCCCACCAGGGTTGGGGATTGAACCACAACTGGGGTATGTGCCCTTGACCGGAATCAAACCCGTGACTCTTTGGTCTGCAGGCGGATACTCTAACCGCTGAGCCAAACCAACCAGGGCTCTTACTGTTTTTAAGATTCTCTATTTGCCTTTTAACCTTTGGCATTTTAATTATGATGTGTGTGTGTGTTGATGTAGGCCTCTTTCAGTTCATCTTGTTTGGGACTCTGCTTCCTGGACTTGTTGTTTTTTTTCCTTCACCAAGTTAAGGAGATTTTTGGTCATTATTTTTCTTAATAGATTTTCAATTCCTTGCTCTCTCTCTCCTCCTTCTGGTACTCCTATCTTGTGAATGTTGGTATATCTGATGTCCCAGAAGCCCTTTAAACTATACGTATTTTTTGGGATTCAATTTTCTTTTTTCTTCTTCTTTATTGATTTCAGAGAGAGAGAAACATCAATGAGAGAGAACATCAACTGGCTGCCTCCTGCATGCCTCACACTGGGGATCGGGCCCACATCCTGGGCATGTGTCCTGACCAGGAATAGAACTGGCGACCCCTTGGTGCATGGGTGGATGCTCAACCACTGAGCGGGATTCAGTTTTCTTTTCCTGTTCTATTTAGGTTCTTTCTGCTACCTTATGTTCCAAATCACTGATTCAGTCCTGTGCTTCATCTAATCTACTGTCGATTCCTTCTAGCATAGTCTTCATTTCGGTTATGTAATTCATCATTTCTGACTGGTCCTTTCTCATGTCTTCTACCTCCATTTTTATGTTTTATATCTCTTCGTCGAAGTTCTCACTAAGTTCCTCTACTTTTTCCCTAAGTTCATTTTCCTTACAGCCATTGTTTTGAACTCTGCATCTGGTAGACTGCTTGCCTCCATTTTGTTTAGTTCCTTCACTGGAGTTGTGTCCTGTTCTTTCATTTGGGACATGTTCCTTTGTCTCATTTTGGCCACCTCCCTGTGTTTGGTTCTATGTATTAAGTAGAGTGATCACATCTCCAGAACTGGTAGAGTGGCCTTATGATGTGGCAGGTGTTTGGTAGGGCCCGGTGGCATAGCCTCCCCACTCACCTGAGCTGGGTGCACCAGGTGCCTCCTTCTGTTACAGTTGAGCCTTGATTGCTGTTGGCCTGTCGGTAGGAGGGATTGACCCCCCCCCAGGCCAGTTGGCTATGAGGACCGGCTGCGACCATAACCAAGAATCAGCAGCGCAGGGGCTGGCCCCATGGAGCAGAACTCACGTCAGCGAGACTCAGGTGCTCACTGAGTCCACCCCTGGAGTGCATCACTTGTGGAAGTGGTTGGGTGGTGCTTCCATGTGATCTGAAGCTGTCCACTGCTACTGTGGCTCTGGGGCCTCTGAGCATGCAGCCACCTTCTGGGAGGGCCAGCCGCCACCTGTGACCTGCCCGAGGCCACCCCCGTGAGCTACAAAGTGATCTTCAGATGGCTCGGACATGCCCGGATCTTCACTCTGATCTGTGAATCAGAGTGGCTGCCGCTGGTGCCCGGCCTGGGGCCACCTAGCATAGGAATGGGGTACACAGAAGCCAATGCTGCTTGTCGGAGAGGTTTTGGGAAAGTTGCCAGCAGGAGCCGAGACACTGCTGAAAGGGCTTGTAGGGAGGGCAGTTGGGGTGGGTGCAAAAGTTGGGTGGGCCCAGTTCTCAGGGGATCACCAGGGCTGGCAGCACAGGGGGAGCCATGTTGGCGAAGACTCAGAAATGGCACCCACCTGCCCTCTCCTGGGGACAGGCCCAGTCCAGGAATAGTGGCCTCTACCAGCGCTTCTGATTGGGAGAGAGCTGCCCCTTCCGCTCTCTCCCCGATGCCAATAATCCAGTTCCTGCCAGGGTGTCCCCTGTGCCTTTTGAGCTCCTGCCCTTGTGCTAGAGCTGAGGGGGGGGGGGTC